CTATAATACACACCTTCCTGAACACTGAATTAGAAAGGTTTAGGTAAATAGAGGAACAAGCAGTTTCATTCATTTCAACATGCTTAGCAGCATCCTCAGAGTCTAAATATAGACCAGTCACAGCTCTATAGACTTTCTGTTGGATCAACACGCATTTGATTTTCTGTTTCCAGATATCAAAATCTGTCTTTTCGTTAATTGGAAGCATGCCATATTGATTGACAGCCATTTTAACAGGAAAGCAAGCACAACACGCAAGAGAGTAAATAAAGTTTATCGGGCTACACACAGTACGAAGCAACTAGCACGAACAAGCCGAGAAGACCAATGAACACAAAGCTCGGGTACAATCTCCTTGTTCTTTCGTACAAGCACAGATAAATTACTATTTACTCAACAGACAGATAACTGATTAATTATAACCTATAGGGCTATGAATTGTACGAAGCAACTAGCACGAACAAGTCGAGAAGACCAATGAGCACAAAACTTGGGTACAATCTCCTTGTTCTTTCGTACAAGCACAATTGCACAAATAGGCTAAAATTAACCAACAAGCAATGAAACTAGATTAAAACTAAACCGGACAAAAATATTCACAACTTCGGACAACAAATATCCAAACAAATATTCTTTACCGGAAAGTTTATCCACAAATCAATCAACAGAAAAAGATCAAAATTAAAAAGATCCAAACAAAATATTCTTCACCGGAAAATTAATTCACGATTCAACAAACAAGTAATCACAATTCAACTTGCAATTAAAATGAATGAACTGCGAAAAATAATCACACAAAGGATTAAGAACGCGTACCTGGGGCCGGGCATAGCCGGTGTCCTAGACCACGTAGGTCAAGCAACGGGGGAGCGGGGGAGAAAATAAATCCGGCGGCACTCCGGTACACCAAGTAGAGTTCAAGCCAATTTACCTGAGCGGGGCCCGAGGTTGGGTTACCGGACTTACCGTAGGCAGCGTGGGCTGCTGTAGAGCACGGCGGCAGCGGACTGGATGGGTGGCAGGCTGGCGGCAGACTGGCGGCATAGACCCGGACAGCACCTTGGACTGGACTGCTTGAGCTCCGGAGTTGGTCTGACCGAAGCTTCTGGGCGCTGGAACCTCTGGACCGACGGCGGCAGCAACTCTGCAGGAACCTCCGGCGACGACGAACGGTGGCGACGCGGCAGCGGACGGCGGCAGACGACTCCCGGCTCTGATACCACTGTAGTTTCTCGTTTCCAGCTCAGGTCTCGTCTATTTTACACCAACAAAGGATGAAAAACCACCACTATAGTCTCAAGGAGGGAAGTGGGCAACAACCTACTAGCTATTCTGGCCACAATTTCTTTCCGGCAAACCCACAAAGGAAGAGAGGAGGGTTTTCGGCGCACCTCTCAAACTGGAGAAGGAGAAGTATATATAGGCTAGGTCAAAATCGCCGATAAGGAAAGCTTACCATATTAGAATCGCGCAGCAGCTCAATAAGGAAGTAAAGCGGAAGGGATGAATCGCGCAGGGAATGGAAAGTGCGAACAACAGAAGATTCAACTAGAGCATGGGCCGGGTACACCTCCAACAAAAGAGAATTGGGCTAAAGGAATGAGCTGGGCCAATACCTAACATAAAGTACTTCTGATCCTACCATGACAGTACAGATTAGAGGCATTCGAACTCATCATTCTTCTAACAAGGGTAACTAAATAGGTTTGCCTGTTAGTTTGAGTGTCATGAACAATCTAAAACCTATTGAAACTAGATGACTGTATCACTCTGGTGGTCCAAAGATTGTGTGTTTCTTGTGAGAAATATTATCTGCTAATATTCAATAGTGTATGAACTATGACGCCATGCATAATACCAATTAGCCACAAGTTTATGTATTTATATGGCTAATGTTACTTTAACCCCTACATTATAGATTCTCATAAAGATAAAGTATGTTCGAGGCTTCAAGCAACAGAGTAGGCTTTGAAAGTAGGATGAATTCTTGAATTTGTATATATTTGCAAGTTAGAACCTTGGAGTGCATTTTATAAATAGGAATAAGACAATATGTGTTTTGGAAAGAACATGTATCTTCTTTATTTCCTCCAGTAGTTAAAAGGTTGAAAGGTATTGATTAGATTGTTTATCAATGTGTTGTTTATTTTTTCATTTATTTTGAGGCTTGAATTAATTTACCTTTTGATACTTTAAGAGGCCATTTGCAGCTTCTTAATAAGTAGAAGAGAATCTTTATAAGTTGCGTTCAAATTAGAGACGGATGAATTAAAATCCATCCATGACAATCATTTTGTACTGGTGGTTTAAAAGGACTGAGTATCTAACATTCCAGAATTGAGATAATTACGTGAATCTGTCTCTAACTTTGCAACCTTGGTCACTGGCTTTTACTTTTTAAAAAATGAAATCATACATTGTGTTCTGGAAAACTTATAATTCTCCTTTTTCAACTGTTATTCTGTTAAGGTTGAATGAATAACAAATTTTTTGTTCTTGCTTTTGTTTTAAGCTATGAGCAACTTTACTTCTTAATCTCAAAATGTCATTTGTAGCTCTTTACTAAGTATAGGAGAACCTATATTAGGTATATGGTGTTGATAGAGAGCAGAAAGAGCATTGGGCGTGAACGGGCTTGGGCCCACTTCCGTGGGCCGGTTATGGGCTGGGATTACAGTTTTATTTATTATTATAAAGTTTATGTTATGATTTTAATTCAGGCCTATTACTAGTAGAGTTAGTACCGGCTTAATTAGGATTTAATTAATTTGGGCTCGATTAGGGTTTCTGTTGAGTCTCTTACTAGAAGGCTATTTATACCCCCTTGCCAGGGTTCATTCTTGCTTATCATGAAATAAAGTTAGATTTCAACTTTTTGACTCTGGGCAACGGTTTTATCATTGATTATCTGGGTAACGGTATTATTTTTCTGTTCTCAACAATTGGTCCGACTTGTCGGATCCTGTCCTGCTGGAATGACAAGATATCAGAACGATCTTTTGACATAGATTGAGGCCGAACAAACAAGGATGGCGGCCGAGCAAACAAGGATGAATCAAACCTGGGAAGAACACAACATGAGGCTGGCCGAGATCGCAGCATCCCTTGCGGCACTATCCAAGGCCCTTGTGCCGCCGGTCACGGCGGAAGTAACCTCAAACTCAATCGGCAGCGTCGCAGTAACAACGCATAACTGCAACGGTCCTCCGCACAACACCACTCCAGCGTTGTTGCCCTTCTTTGACGAAGAAGACCTGATTGGTGGATAGCTCGGGTTGAACAACAGTTCGAATTGAACGGAACTCTACCGGAGAAAAAATTGACATCCGTTGTGGTTGCCATGGAAGGGGGACTCTGTATTGGGTAACCTGACTGAGAGCGCGCCAACCTAGCCTGATTTGGGAAGGATTCAAGCAAGCTTTGGTAGCCAGATTCGACTCCTGATTTAAAGGGAACATGTTTTAATGGTTGTCCGGCGTCAAATAGATTGGATCAGTGGAGGACTACAATGCCCTGTTTGTTCAGTTGGCAGCCAGTTCCGGAATTGTATGATGAACATTATTTGGGATACTACATGAATGGACTGAAAGAATCAATCCGAAGCTCGTTACGCTTATTTCGACCGAATAACTTGGAAGAGGCCATGGAATTAACTCGCGATGTGGAGTACAATCTGTCTGTTCAGAGTGGAGGAAGAGACAGTCTAGATTTTAATCCTATAGGATCACGTTCCAGCAGCTTTTCACTGCCAAACACGGGTCCTCCGTTGACTGCCAGTGGTGGCAGCACACAAGAATCAAATGGCAGCTTTCGGAAAGATAGTGGGCAGCCCCCAAAGTCAGGGCTGTCCGGGTTGTCTACTGCACGCTCTCAGTTCACTCGACTTCCGCTGAAAGAGTTAGTAGAATTGCGGGCAAAATGATTATGATTTAGGTGTAAGAAACCATTTACACCGGGTCATGACTGCCCCTTTAAGCAGTTGTTGGTAATGATAGCTGAGGAGGATGAGGAGTTAGACCTCCAACAGCATGAGTATTGTGAGATAACCGGCCATGAAAAGGTTCAGAAAGGCCAGGGGGTCTGGAAGGAGATGAAAGATATTTTCCGGTCTATTCTATGGCTAAAAATTTCAGTCCTCGATCTGCGAGATTTCAACCTTGAGGACAGTTTTTTGAAGGAGGGTGGTTTAATAGAGAGCAAGAAAAGCATGGGGTAGGAACGGGCTTGGGCCCACGGAATGAGCTAGGATTATATTTTTATTTATTATTATAAAGTTTATGTTATGTTTTTAGTTTGGGCCTATTATTAGTAGAGTATTTAGTAAAGTTAGTATGAGCTTAATTAGGATTTAATTAATTCGGGTTCGATTAGGGTTTCTGTCGAGTCTCTTACTAGAAAGCTATTTATACCACTTACCAGGGTTCATTCTTGCTTATCATGGAATAAAGTTGGATACTTGGATTTCACCCTTTTGGTTCTGGGCAACGGTTTTTATAGTTGATTATCTGGGCAACAGTTTACCTTGTTTATTATTAGTTTTCTGTTCTCAAGAGGTGTGCGTTAGTATTAAAGATACATGGGTGAGAAAAAAATATGGGTGAAAATAAATCTATGAAATTCATTGTACTAGTGATTTGGTAAATGGGCTGAGTTTCACCACATTCATAAATCATAAGCATTCGGCAAAAGCTTTCTTATATTTTACCTTTATATTGAAAAACCAACAGGGATTTGTTTCTTGACAGGGGACATAAATGAATTTATTAGTTCAATTTAGTGGATAAAGTCCAATCACTCTTGGTCATGATTGGCCACAATACAATCTTAGGGCTACGTCAAACAGTCCAAGAAGTCTCATGCTTTGATGAGCTAGAAAATTGCTGATTTATACTTATTAATCATGGCATGCATTTTAATGGTATTCAAATGGTAGTGTAATACACAAAATAGGATTTTACTTGCGCCTCAGCTTCATTATGCTTCATTATTTTGTTATTTAGGAGGAAACAGTGGAGGATTACACAAAAACTGGCATCGATCCACTCACAGTATCCCTTTACCAGATGGACGTGGACAGAACCATGTATCTGTTAAGATCATATTTGAGAACGCGTCTTCAAAAGGTAGCATCATGAAAAAGCTATTTCGCTGCTCAACTATTAAGCAATTGAGATTTTCAATCTAGATCAATTTGTGTAGTTCTACAGAGCTTGCTGTACACAGTAGTGATGGACTGTTGTTTACTAGGCTGGACTTGCCATTTGCGTGCAATATCTAAATTCTAGCTTTCTGACTTGTGGTGTGTGTCTACTCTCCTCACTTGTAAATATCAATCACAGATTGAGAAGTATGCATTTCACATTCAAAGAACCAGTGAATTATGGAACTGCTTATCTAAACAAGAACAAAAATTTGCTCAAAGGTAGTTTGTTATACTTTGGAATCTATGTTGGTGGAACTGTGTTCTGAAATAGTAAAGAAAAAAAAGAAACTGACCATTTAGCTACTTGACAATGCTGACAGGTCTTCAGAAGATTTGCAGCAACATTTGGAACAGTCGGTTCTCTCAAAGTTGCCTCAAGGTTTCAAGTCTCACTTGAAACAATCTACCGTCAGTGAACAAGATGACATGGGTAGGCTTTTCCAACTAGAGGCACAATCTGATGATACCACTATTAGTTGTGCATATGCTTTGGTACACTGGTAGTTTAGTACGAATTGAAATCTTCTATCCCACTTTTCCTGTCAAAGTAATTAGCATTAACTTTATTTAGACTGTTAGTTAGCTAATAGACATTGGCCAAACAGAATGTACTGGTTGCTTGGTTGGTACCCAAATGAGATCGGTAAAGTGGGACAAAAGATTTTCTCTCCTATTAGTGGAGGTTCTGACTTCTGAGGATTCTCCCGTTCTGATAATTCTAATTTTTTTTACTCTCCCATCATGTATCACAGTTTACTCAAACATTTTCTTTCAACTGATGAATCAATTTATTTATTGCGTCCTTTCCATTCCCTGCATTTACTCACTACAACACAAACCATGGCTTTGTATTTTTGGATGTCTTTAGTCACAGAACCACGCCTGGATCATTATGTCATCTGCAGGAGCAAGAGATATTTGGGAGCTTTTCAGCTCGATGACAGGTAAAAACAAACTATCCTTTGAGTCATTGGGTGGCACTGCCTTCATTATATGTTATCTAGCGGTGCGTCATTTTCTGACCCTTCATCTCAACTTTTGGTCAGCGTTGAGGAGCCAGTGAGCATTGAAGCTGATGATTTATACGCCTTGCCGTACAAGTCGATTAAGCCACTTGTTGAAAATGGGCAGATTGATATTGTTTAAGACTTTGAGCCATTCTAGAGCATGTAGAGGCGTAGAGCCCATCTTTGTACTGTAAAATGTAACTTACGGCCTACTGGCTGGGTAAGCAAGAATAGGCAGAGCTAGTTTCGAGGAACCTAACAAAACACTTTAGTTGTATTGTTTTGTCAAGGGTTTTGTACTTTGTAGTTAGTACTTACTACTTAGTAGTGGGGTACTGGGGTATAGTGGTATACTCGAACTACCCTAACACATACTCGGAAATCGGAATAGAGAGGTTCTATAAACTCTCCAAGCACAAATGGGATAAATCTTGATTGCAAGTTTATTTTCAGAAAAACCAATTATACAGCCATGAACTATCTCTATTCACTTCCACTCGTTATATTTCAAGGCCATCGTTATTTGTTCAAAATATGACTAAATTTTGATGGTCTTGTTTCTTTTGGGCACAAAGACTAAGAAAGTGTGGTAGAAAGACTAAAGAACCTTACTTTATTAGACCGTTCATCCTTTTACTTTTACTTTTCATAAAAAAGGAGTATAAATGGTAATTCACTTTTAGTTCTTTACCAAAAAGGGAAAGGTGACCATCATTTTGAGACATCCAAAAAAGGAAATACAGGACCATCATTTTGAGACGGAGGGAGTATTATTTTTGGAACTACCATCATGGCATCATGTCTAGACTCTAGGGGTGGGAAAATATACCGAAATTTCGGTATACCGGCCATACCGTACCGAACCAGCCCTATTCATGTCAAGAGAATAAAAACACGTACGAAGTACTATTTTATTCCCTGTTTTCCCTACTTTTTCGTTTTTCTTTTCACTTTTTCTGAGTTATTCCCTATTTTCTTTCATCATCAATGACTTTTTACGCTCAGTGTTGGCTTGTTCCATATGATTTTTCTCTTGACTTAATAAATTACAGCCACACTTCCATCATCTTAAACAATAAGCCGAAACAACTGCAAAGAGTTACGGAGTATATTTAAACTTTTCTTCTTGATTATGCAATTTTTTGTTTAAGTATTTATGGAGCATGTTAACTAGGCTTGGACTCGGGCCTTGGGCCGGGCTTGACCGGGCTGTTTTTTGGTTTCTTGAGGCCCGGAACCGGCCCGGGTAGCTACCGGATCGGGCCCGGGTACATAATTGTTTTCCTAATTACTTCCCACCCCACACCCCAAACCCCTCCAAAAGTCCAATCCCAACCCATTTACATTTTAAATAATTTGAAAAACCAAAAAAAATGGCCCGAACAGGACCTGGCCCGGCCGAGCTTGTTCATGTTTTGAGTCCCGGAGCCCGCCTCGAAACAGTCCGGGCCGGGTGGCCCGAACCGACACGTACCCGGGTACCGGGCCGGGCCAGTTACGGGCCGTTTGATTCGGCCCGAAACCATCCCTAATGTTAGCATGTTCACCATGGAATATATGCTTAATATATTTGCTCTATTTCTTGACTTGCCACGTTTGAATTGATAAACAATGAAAAGAATAACCGTAGAAATACTTTTTGTATCTAATATTTGAAGACTACTATAATCTGTAGTCCACAACAAATATTTTGTGTGGATGAATTTGTTGAAGACAACTTTTTGAATTTTCTTTAGCCAATATACTTCTGTTTTTCGTGTGTTTTAATATTTAATTGTTTCAACTACTCCGTAAAACTTTAGTTATTTAAGTAAATTCACCAAATTAAGCTAATTTAAATCAATCAAATGGGTAAAACAAATATTAAATAAAACGTTCGTCACATAGCTGATAATACAATCAAAGAAAAAGCAGGAAACAAAATGATAAAAAGTCTTTTGTCTGTTGTTTCTCCCTTGAACCACCCCAAATTTAAAAAATGTCACAATATTTATGGTAAAAAGTTTCATATAATTTTATTTTTCAAAATTATTTTTTGTACCTGTACAATCCGACACAGTGCCCTGACTCTACCAGTGTTTCCCGAGGCTAATATTAAGCTCTAAAGAGTCCCCATAAGAAATGGTTCTCGAACTAGTAACACGTCTCCACTAATATTTGAGTCGAAAAAATATTTCTCCACTGACACTGTAAGGTTATAACTCACTCAAACAAAACACTACTCCTTATCATGGGCGGAGGTAGAGGGCAGTCGGTCCACCCTAAATTTGAAAATTCTTTGTATTTTTAGTGTAAAAATCTATGTGCAAAAATTAATTTGAAAAAATTCTTTGTATCGGGCCTACCCCAACCTTCTATCCTGGGTAAGCTCGTGCTCATTGTTGAACTAAAACATCCAAAAGTTACCACAAAACTTTGTTATAATATTATCTATCCTACAAAACACTACCATTTTTTGTCTAATTCTCTAGATTTTTTTATGACTTCTATTTAAAATATTGAGTAATAAACACTATTAGCTCTGCTTCATATAAAGGTTCTCGTTCACTATTCTACGGCTAACATAAAGACTTCTTAGAGCATCTTCAATGCTACAATGTGCACGGTGCACATGTGGCATGAGAAATAGTCACATAAATATTAGCAAATAAATTATCTCTCTTTATTTGAATGATTTTATACAACTTTGGTAAGTTTTTCTCTGCGATGTCAATCATAATTTTAACATCTAGACGGTCTTCTTGACATTGTGGAGAAAAACTTACAAAAATTATATAAAACCATTAAAATAAAGAGAGAGAATTTATTTGCTAATATTTATGTGGTTATTTCTCATGCCACATGTGCATCATGCACATTGTAGCATTGGAGATGCTCTTAGTCTTGTACTTTATAATATATAAAGTTTATATATCCAACTTTGATCAAATTTGAGTTTTTTTGATATTTTATAAAGAAATCCAATTACAGGACGTAGGAGTGTGTATGTGGTTAAATTTGTCTCAGTTGAGAGAGGATATAAAAGAATAGTACTTACTCCCTTTGTTCCGCTAAGATTGTCCATTTTACCTTTTTGGTTCGTTCCACTAAGATTGTATCATACTAATTCGATAGGGTTTGTGCAACTCTAAATCATTCTTACTTTATTCTTAGTTTTTCAATTTCATATCAATCACATAAATCCATTCTTATTGATTTGTCTCACATTGCTCTAGTTCCATTGTTGGTGGGAATAGGGATGGACTAGGCGGATTCGGCTCGACCCGGCCCGGCCGATCGGGACTGGAGGCCCGAATCGGGGGATTTTGGGGCGAGTTAAGGGATGATGATTTGGTGGATTGGCTCGATCGGTCCGGGCCCGATCGGCCGAATCGAGATTTTAATTCGATGACCCTGAACCTCGAGAACCTCAACTTCAAGATTTTAATTCGAGAACCCTGAACCTCAAGAATTCCTATCGAGATTACCGATATAGCGAGATTGCTGAAATATCGAGATTTCCTATCTTCTTCGCAAAACCCGCGAGAAAATATCAAAACTTCGAAATCTCAAAAATCCCAAAAACGGAATTTCAGCCTTGTTAATACCAACTGTTGATCGAAACCTTCCAGGAAACGCAGAAAAACGTCCAAACCATGTTGATCAACCATAAAATAGCAAAAAATCAATTTTTCGAGAACTACTTCTTCACTGTCAATGGCAGATAAAAAAATGCAGGAATTCTTCAATCGATTTCACGCTCAGCTCTGATACCAATTGTTTTTCCCAATTTCATCCAACAATCATACAAACAATATATCGAGTACAGAAGAGAAGAACTTTGATTCAATACCAACAATGATCTCCAAATACAGAACAAGGTATCAAATACAAAGCTGCAGCTCTCTCTCACTAGAATGATATGCGCGTTAAAGACTTGTTAGGCTTAGAGTTTTCTAAAGTTAGCATCCTTTTATACATAAGGATGCCTAACTTAAGGCTTACAAGTGGGCTAATGGGCTGAAATACATTTGTGGCCCATATTACACATTTAATTAATAACTACACAAATACAAAGATATTTAATTAGATTGGACACCATAAAATATTCCCAATAATATAAATTGTACCTACAATTTTAAGTTGTTCGATCGACGAGCTCGAGTTAAGCCAAATACTACTATACTCGAGTTCAGCTCAATATATTACATTCGAAATCGAGTTGGGACTTAAATAGTTTTAAAAAAGTTGAGTTCTTTATCTCCCTTTCTGGATATTGTATGCATATTTAGATGGGTCTACAGCGAGACCCGACTTAAGAAACTACACCAGATCGAATGAAAAAAATTAAGAACACATTAGACTTGTACAATATATAGTTTAATACAATAATACGACACTAGAAATTTACTAGAGCCGTTTTTTAACAAGTTAAATAGGTCATCCGAAACAGGGTCCATCGAAATTAGGGCCCCAATTTTTTGTAATATTGGTATAACAATATAGTTATATTATACTACGTATAATAATACAATATTAATATGTAGGTTTTTTAAATCTTGTTTTTTTTCTACATGAACTTGAAGACAATTAATTGTGTTGAACTATATGTAAATTGTTATTATATACTCCGTACTACGTATGATTTTACTTTTATTTATATATGATGTCTCAATTTTGCTTTTGGAACCGGACCTACAAATTCATTATACGACAGGGAAAATTACGGAGTACAATCCAAATGAAAACGTCTTTATTCTATTCTTTTTTCATTTTAATTTGAAATGCAGTATCAACATAAGTTGTAAATGGTAAAACTCTTTTATTGGAAAGTACGTAGGCAAGGGAATGAAGGGATTGCAGGTGGATGAAACGATCACATGCATGTTTGTCCCACCACCTGCTAGCATTCTACCTTAGCTTATTAATACAACATCGTCGACATATATACTTTATTCATATACTCCGTGATGAATCATGGCCATCCGATAAGTTGAACTGCCGTGGTTGGTATGGTCCGACGACTCGGCGGCGGCAGAGGTGGTGTCGTCGGCGGCATATGAAGACGAAGGGAGGCGGCAGTTGCTCTGGCAGCCAGGTCCGCAGTACTCGGCCGTTAAGCCGCAGTAACCATACTGGCTGCAGCACAGGCCGTTAGGGCAGGCACGGAACCCAGGAACTTGTCTTCCACATTATTGAGCCGTTGTTGTTACCACCAACGCCGCTAAGGCAAACATTACAAAGACGAAAATGCCACTGCACTTCTTCATCATTATATTCAAAATTGAATTGAACTATATAAACTCAGTATAATCTTTGTGAATGTATGATTTTTCTTGGACCAGAATATGATTGTGAATGAAACGGAAGCGGAAGGGCCCGCCTATTTATATTAGTGAATTACCTTTTGATCCGGCCTATTCCACTTCCACTTAGGCTATGTTTGGTAGACATAAGTCTCTACCTTATAGCGTTTGTACTGTTCAAAAAGTTTCTAAAAGCTTCTA